TATACAATCTTTTTTTTTTTCCATTTATAAAATGTTCTCTTTGATTCCAACAAAATTATCTCCATTCCAGTTGAGTCATTATCTGAACTACAGCCAATGTTTTCTATGATTTCAAACAATAAAACAAAATCTAACCAAATTTAAATTCCCACACACGTTTTTTACTACTACGTGTCTTATTTTAAATTAATATAGACTCATATGTTTTTAGCTATAGAGGCTTCTTCTCTCAACATTCAGGGAAACTAATATTGTGTCTCTGCATCCAAGACATAACACTATAATAGGAAGCTGATTTTCATTTTTAAGAGATAAAATAAACGTGTTTTTGCTGGTCGGTACACTGCTGCTAATATTCAATGAGTGAATAATTCTCTGTTGTGCATTTGCGCACAATGCGTAATAGAGCAATTCTTTTGAGGACCAGAAGTTCACATTTTGGACAAAGAAGACAGGTGGTTTGTGAGGGGTGTGAAGGAAGCCATCTATGTTAAGAAATAAAAAAAAACAACCTTAAACAGAGGGGATAGACTCAGGTTTCAGTTTTCAAAAACCTACAATGCAGCAATGGAGTTGATTCCTTCCCACTATCATCGCAACCCCCACACCCATAAAGGGGAAGGAAACATCTCGCTTATTCAGGCAGGCAAACAATTCCCATTTCAGAGACATAAACAGCTATTGGGTATTAAAGGCCAATAAAGAACCCAAACTATGTTATTCTGTCTGACTTAGACTATGTCAGACAGAATAACGTCACAGCGATCAGTAAATAGAGATCAGCGCCCCTGTATTCAGGTGGTTTACGGCAGCGAAATAAAAACAAACCTTATTAGCTCTAAATTATTTCAACTAACGATTATTTTGAAAATCCATTGATCTGTGAATTTTTTTTTTTCAGATTAATCCATTAATAATCGGAAAGCAAAAGGTTCCTTAAAGAAGACTTTTTACAAAATGAAACCAGGAGAAACTGAAACTTTTCCACTTGAGAAGTTCTGGAAAGAGCATATTCATAGATAAAAACACTTTTCTTATTTTAAATGTAAAATTTTTATATATTTTTTTTATTGTTTTTGGTATAATTGCTGCTCTAAGTCAGCTAAAGGCATATTTTACAATCTCTACACTCCAGTTAACGATTAATCGATTACTAAATTAGATGGCGATTATTGAAATAATCGATTAATCACGATTAAACCCATTGTTTCAGCCCTACTCTGAATTTATAGAAATAACAATAAATGTGAGTGAATCTGTCAGATCTTACCTTTCCTGCTCAGGTAACCAGTTCTGCTTGATCTAAAGGAGGATGACTACCCTTAATGCCAAACATTAACTCCTCCTGCTGAAAAATGAAACCTAACAGGGATTTCCAAGTAAAAGCTTGATTTTGAAACCAGGAGAAAAACGGACAAAGGGCAAAACATCCCCCAACTTTTATGGTCCAGCCTTGCCCCTCTTTTTATTGTTCAGTTTATTATAAAGGGAAAAGGTCTGACTGAGTAATGGGTTTATGAGGCGTTTCGACATTATATCGATACTGTGTCGAAACTGTCACATAATATCGACATCTGCTGGGTTTAAAACCACAGGCAGCTTCTCTGACAGGCTAAACTGATCCTGATTTAATGACCTATAATATGATTGAATCCATTGTTTGCTGTAATGTATTATTTCATAGATATCATTTAAATTGAAAATAGGTTTGATATTCTTAGATGCAATCCGTATGTGTGATCATATAATAGGAAAATTGAACATGTGAATAAGGATGTTTGTGGACTAGGACTAAATATCTGTAGTGGGCAGGGGAGCCACCTGGAATTTGGGGCCCCGTGAAAGACATTGATATTGCACCCACCGGGGGGTGGGTGCAATATCAATACCACCCCCACCCCTCCAAAAATAAAAAATAAAAAAATTGATGCAAGCTTTAAAAAGGCAATAAAGATGGACTGAAATTTTCAATGTAATTTTGAGGGAAAATTATCCTTCCAAAAAGTTAAATATACATTAACTTTAAACTTTACATTAAACATCATCTTCTCAAAATAATAAGAGCTTATTTAGAACAACAAAATTAGATATATCTATGCACACATGAAGAGAAAATAGGTTTCGTATTTTGAAAGATATATTCCTATTTGGTTTCTTTATAACTTTATTAAAAGACAGATTATTTTTTATGTTGGCCCAAAGAATTAAATTTTCATTCATTTATACATTTTAATGACAATAAGATGAGAATGGCTATAATTCAATTTGAATATTAAATTGTAACTGAAGTATTTTAATAAACGTTAAGGTTTTTCTGTATAGCTAAATTGCTTAAAAGGAGCATTTGTCACCCTGCTCCTAAAAAAAAAAATAAAAAAAAAATAGTTTATTCATTTATTTTTTAAAGTAAACTTTTACCTAGAGATCTTTATTTGGTATAATGGATTTTTTTTCTTTGCATCTCTGTTGAGGTTCAAAGGACTCCTTTCCATCACCCTAATCTCTAACAGAGATTCTACTCTGGACTTTTGCAGGGAAACCATGAAAAGTTATTATTTACACTGGATAAGTTTTTCAAAGTAAATGGATTAATATTAATCTTCTCAGTATAATTAATCTTAGCTAAAAGTATTAAAAGAATAAAGTATTAGTGCAACAAATGAGCTGTGAAAATTCCCCCTTAAAAAGAGTTGCTCTGTTTCAGCTTTGTTTTCATTTAATTTGATATCAGTTATTTCTTAAAATTAAAATCCAGTGTAGTTCAATTACTAATACAAAAAAGAAAAACATACAAGATATTCTGTAAATAAATACTATTTATTGAAAATATTGCCTGTAGTCAGTCAAAAAACAACAAAGACTTGTTTTCTTCTAGAACAGAACAGAAAGTGAGGTCGACCACTCAGGCTGCGGCCCTCATCATTGCTGGAATGAATATCAAGTACAAGCCTCCTTCCAGTTTCCCTCTGAGGTCCGATTAATTAGCACATAATTACCTCCGACTCTTTAAAGACAGTCGAGCATGTGTGAGAGCATGCGTTTGGTTGAAATACCATAAAAAGCTTGTTTCTGTAAAGTTCATTGCACATGGCTGAGCATCATGATTACACAGCTAAAAAAAAAAAGGACAAACAAAAAACGAAATCAAACAAAATGAAATAAAACCTGAAAATTCTCAACACCAGGGACTCCACTGCTGCAGACTGACAACAGGCTGGTCCAATGTGTTGACTGCAGTGACACCAGTGGTGAAAGTAAGTGAGCTGACAACACAAACGTATTTAAACAGCAGCTGGCAACGATTATATAATGCCCAGTTTTTAATAGCTGCAGATTGAATAAAAAAAAAAGCAAGATGTCTGTAAGCAGCAAAACCAACGTAAGCCTGCAGCTAAAATCTAACCATGGATGAGATCCTGGACCATAAAGTAACAAAGCGCTGATGTAGTGCACAGATAAAAATGAACAAGCTAAGTTTTCCTAAATCTAAAACCTGTATTATTGCATGAATCTTAGCTTAAAGCATGCAGCAGAAATCCATGAATCATTAGTAGCTTTAATTTGGGAGATCATAACACTGATTTGGAACGCAGACATGCCCTTAAACATCTCTTATATTCTTTTAGCAATTCGTTTGATTTGATTTTACCTTAAAAAGAGTTTTGCATATTAATCAACTTCCCCCGATTTCACCATCATTTTGCATTTGAATCAAACCCCCTTTTTTGGAGTTTGCCAGCCAACGTAAAGGTCGACATGGTGTTTCTGTAAGCCCTTTATTTGACCCCGTAGTTACTTTCACCACTGAGCGCGACTGACCGCATGGCTTGTTTGGAGTTGCATCGTAAAAAACACGAATGGCACAAAGGAAAAGCTGAGCATTACTGTTGAAAAACTCAGAAGTCATTTGCAGCTCAAGTCAAATGAAGGCGGAAGAAGCGGATGATGGACTCTGCTCCGCCTCGGGCCACTCGGACCTCAAACGCCGAGCTTGTTGGCCTGCGTCAGCACCACCTTCAGTACGGGCATAAAGGCCGACGTCTCGCTGAAGTTGCTGTTGCTGACGATGTGGGTGTGGATATTGAGGCCCTCTGTGTAGGAACGAGACTCGATGGTCCTCGCGATGTTGTGAAGCCCTCCTATGATGGCAGGAGACAGCTGAGCAGAAAAATAACAACAGTTAGACCAAAGTAATACAGAGTTTAATGATGCAGTTTTTTTTATAGCATTTATTAATATGGTTCTACTTGGTTAAAATAAATGTTAGTCAAGACCAGAGCATGTGAACGCAGCGTTCCCCGCTCAGGAGGATGTTCGCTCATTCACTCCGTCGCTCAAAGTTACGCTAGGACGCTCCGCTCAAAATCCGCTCTGTGCTCATTATTCATTTTCCTGCCGCTCCGAGGAAATCGCTCCATGCCTGCTCATATTTTCAGGAGAAGGCATTTTCTGACATTTTTCCTTCATGTAATTATGCCAGGACCCTGAGACACACGGTGCTTGATTTAATGATGTGACCGATACATGTGTATTGTGGTTTTTAACCGGCTCCGTTGTGAACGCATTGTAACGAACTGGAGCGGAGCGAAATCTTCCAGCCTTTGAATTGAAAACTGCTCTGCGCTTCACCATATTTCTGCCGCTCCGCTCTCATGCTGTCAAGACTGTAATGTTATTTTTAAAAATAAAAGCTGAAAAGAACGTTAATTCCACAATCAAATTTAAATCACTGAACTAAAAGCACCAGGACCAATCTGTATCGGCTCGATATTTACCGTATTTTCACGACTATAAGGCGCACTTAAACGTCTTTTTTTTCCC